AGGAGAGTGTGACTCCATCCAGGACTGGAGACTGTATAGTTTTTCTGGTATATCACTTTTAGTTTAGAAAGTGTTGTTGTTGTTGTTGTTGTTGTTGTTGTTGTGTGCCTTCAAGTAATTTCCAACTTATGGTAACACTAAGGCAAATCTTTGATTGGTTTTTCTTGGCAAGTTTCTACAAAGGAGGTTTGCCTGTGAGGCTGAGAGAGTGTGACATGCCCAAAGTCACCCATTGGGTTTACATGGCAGAGCTGAGATTTCAACTTTGGTCTCCAGAGTCATAGTCAACGTTCAAACCAATACACCACACCGTCTCTACTTAGAAAGCTACCAGGTTGCTTTTTTATCCAAGGAGAGGTCTAGTTTTAACAATTAGGTGCATCTAGACACGAGTTGCAGGACATATGCCCCTCCAAATGTTGGAGTATACTTCCCATCATCCATTACTCAACCCAAAAAACCTGGGTCAACTTATCCATGGGTCAATGTAACTACTGTACTTTAACTCTTAACAAAGAAGGAACCATCCTGTTATCTGAGTAGAGTGGTGAAAGGCAAAAGAAGCACCAAACTCTTCTACTCTCTCCACTGCAGCGCTGCTTCTGGCTTTTTGAATGCCTAGGCAGAAAATGGTGGCAGTGACAACTCTTTGGCACTTCCCCTTAAAGGAGCACCAAGAGAGCAGAGGAGGTTCGTGCTTCCTTTAGTTTCACTTGGGATGGAGTAAGCTCTTGCCTTTCGCCACTCTACTCAGAGATGGGTATGATTCCTTTTTTGATAAGAGTTAATACTGTAATAATGAGTTAATATTCCCTTTACATCCTTTTTGACATGTTCATGTTTTTGAGCCTCGTCCACACCTAGTCACCTCCACCACACATCACATAGCCACCATTTACCATAGTTCCCTCCTTATCCATCCAGCCTTTAGGGTGAGCAGAAATAGTTATGCTTGCCAGAATTTTGTAAGTTCTCTGGCATCATTTTCCTTGCCTCCATCCTTTATATCCTTCGTTACAGCCCCTAGGTTTTACTTTCACTTATCCATGAGCCATAATTTTGCCCCCAAACCTGTCCTCGACTTATACATGAAAATGACGTATGCATAAGTATATATGGCAGGTGGGAATTAAGAGAGATACAGCAACTGCCCCTTTCCCCCTATGTTTGCCATCCCTATCCTAAACTATTCTCGGCTCTGCAAATTTCTCTCTTAGTATTCCATCAGAAAGACATTTTCACAGTCCTGTTATCTCATATCCCTTCATCTCTCCCTCCCTTCCTTGATTGTATTTAGGAGCTGTCCTGCAGCCTGAAGGTACTTGAGGTGATGTACATCATTAAAAATGCAATTCAAATCCATATTAAATTAAAATACTAAAGTCCACATAAAAGCCTAATTACATAATCAATAAGCAACAGGGCATCTAGTTTGCATCACAAAAGAGCATATGAAAGATTCTCTCTCCCTTTGGATTGTGTAAATCTCCCCTCTCCCCATTTGTAGTAGTGGTTGCCCAGTTATCTATTAGTCTAGGGCTGTTTGAAGCCAAACTAGTGGTCACTGGTGAAACATCTTGAGCTCAGGAGGTATGTATGTGGGGTTTGGGTGGGGGGAGAAGCAGAATGTACAAAAATGATGGTCAAACAAGATGCTATATCATGTTTGCTTACAGAGGTGGCCTTCAAAGTGTTGAAGGACATGTGTATCATACTCCATGCTTTTCCTCAAACACAAATCTTGTATTTAGCCTGCTTCATTTTGTGATTGGCCATGGGAAGGAAAAGATGTGCTTAATTTGCAAGTCTGATAGCTGAGATAGGGTTCTCTGAGGAAATCACATTAAGGGGGGGAATTGGATAATCGTAGGGAATATCTATTTCCCTTAATGTCTAGTTTGACCCTGACAGATTTTTGACAGAACTGGAAATATAACTGATCCATGCTAATGATAATGCCAACAACATGTAGATGGAAACAATGTAGTAGTAATAAGGACATCATCCGGCATGTTCTATATCAAAACAGACACTGCCAAGGTGTAGTTTATTTTTCAGAATATGGCTCCCCAAATGCCCTAAGTAGCATGACTGTTGTTGCCATGTTGGCTGGGGGGGTTCAGGGAGCTATGATCCAAAACAGTAACTTTTTGAAACTCTTACACTGCAACATGTGCAACTCCATTAGCCCCACTCAGTGACATAAGGAATCCTGCTTTGTCCATTTCTATGATCTATTTCATGTGTAATGTATATGCTGTATCTTGATTTTATGCATTGCTTTGTCTCATGTTTGATTATTGTTTTGCACCACTGTGAAATTTGTAATAGGTAAGCAGATACAAGCAGTTTATAAGTATTATAAACAAACAGACTGGAGTAATCTTGCCAACCTGCAATTTGCCTTGTGTTGTATTTAAATGTTAGGACATTATCACACGTGGGCCAGTTTCGTTGTTAAAGAGATAA